GAGAGCAAAAGGTAGTATTAGTCATATGCGAATGTTAGATTTATTGCTGAAATGATTAAAGAACCCTGATGGCTTTTCCATATTTTGAAAGTCGTTTAAAGTCACGCACCTCATAATCCAATAGCAATCAGGCGGTTTGCACCAACCTGTGTAACGTTTTTGAAACTTTCTTTTTAACGATGTGCTGTCTGTTGAAATATCTGCTCCATTCCGATATAGGAAGCGTACTACGCCATTATTTTTAGACTTTTGGTACCGAAGCAGTTCAATTGACATGTGTTATTAAGGAGACAGGATGGAACAAGTTTGCTTGGATACTAAGGATTTAGTCGAGATTATAATGAAATGGTCATATTATAAAGGTGGAGGAAACCAGCTATATAGGTTATATAAGAGAGTAGTGTACTAAACTTAGGATAAGTAGGAAAGAGATTTTTCTATGAATCGACGAATGGATAACAAACTTTAATGTCAGAGTTAAAGTCAACCCATCTTGCTCCCTGAGTCATGTAAAGAGCTTTAGAAGCCAAACATTATTTATCACTGGGGGATGGAGGATTTTTTTTTGAGGGGGGGGATGGGGGTCATATGGAACAGAGGGTGATCAGTCGTCGCTAACAGAGTTTTAAGGGAGGACTATAGAAAATTGACCGTCAATTCACTTTAGAGGGGGGATAATAAGAATATTATAGGGGGTGGGGGAGAGGGGGGGAGCAGGTAAATTTAATCGTGACACAACCAAAATCCGCCAGTCCCCATAAGCGATAACAGGAGCCCATATGGGCTACTGGCGCTAAATAATGAGCGGCCCCTTACAACATGAAGCTAGTCTTTCTGAGTGTTTGACTCAGGATTCAATTCAGATTTTATCTTCAACTTAAACTTAAGCAACTTAAACGACAACTTGTCTGCATCTTTGGGAGAAAAAAGGTTTGCTTATTATTTATGTGACAACAACATCAACAACAACATCTTTTATTTAAACACGGTGGGTTTTAAAACTAATATAGCTTATGAGGCCGTGTAAAAAAAGTCATTCAAATAATAAAAATAAAAAAATTAAAAATTATTAAAACTGAATGTAGACAATAAAAATAGGAATATTTAATACGAATCTTAAAAGAATCCTGTTACAATTTTTTTTGAAACGATGTCTCTTCCTGACACCTAGAAACGCCTTGCGAATTTAGTTTTCATTGCGTGACTGTGTTACCCGGTTTCAGGTGTTATGTTACTTTTGTGAATAATGTCATCTGCGTATGTCAGTGAGTCTTTTTGAGTAGCTACTGTTTCCTCATGTGGGGCTTTTTTTGCTCCAGACACGGAGAAGTATTCGGACAAGACAAGCTTTCTGTCCAAGAGTGAAGTTTATTCAGGAGGTCTAATTTTTGCACTCTCACACACCATGAATAAATGGAATCTCCGGCGTTTGAGTGGATACGAATTAGCCGGAAATGAAATTTTTCTGCGGCACGGGAGCAGTGGGGACTGGGGCAGTTGAAGTGTAGCGTGGGTAGAATGGAGTGTTATGAAAAGGATGTTTATCACGTGGGAAAGCATTCTAGGCCGACACCTCGTCTTGCTCACGTCAATTTTTTTTATTATATATTTGATTTACTAGTGACAGTTCGAGTTTCGCAGAGGTTCCTTAGCTTGTTTGCGTTTCCTAAAATTATTTAGAGTTTTCCGTGCTTTGTGGGAATGTTAAGTAAATAAGGGCAAAGACCTTCCAGCTATGTAGCCTTCGTAGGATGGGCTCTTCAGAGCATGAGCCATGGATCCTACCCAGATTTCCTGCCGAGTTTTTATCCCTATTAGGGTTTTTTCCGGCAGGTTTTTCTGGCCTCTGTTCTGACAGTATTCTGTGTAAACTGTCGCTCAGCTCTTTTCTAGATTTTCCACCACATGTTTGAATGTAATAGGGGTTGTTGTATAACGTATTGTTATATGTACGGTGCTCGGCCGAAACAGCCATAATAAACCTAATGGTTTTTCTAATCCATGTTGTGCTGCGTAGTGGAGCCGAAATTTCTATTTTTAAGCGCGAATTGCATATACTTATAGGACGAACAAAGAACTTTCCATCTAGGGAAGTGCTAATTTAGCATGCAAAGGCATCTTACAACACCCACCGATTGTGAATACCTTCGTTCTCTCGTTGGAAAATCAGGAAACAGGGAAACGAAATTAGTTTAAACTCACATAACTGTCTATGCGAAGAGTTGACCCGAAGAAAGCACAGGTACAGATGGAATGGTAAAGTTATTCACTCTGTAACTCTAACTTGAACTCCAATAATCTGTATTTTACTCGCGTTAGTGTGAAGGATTATGAAACTTTGATCCACTAAAGATCGTGTATCTTAATACACCATGACGATTTCTCCGAAACTTTTAACACGAGCCTTTGGAGATGAGCGTATGTTGGACATATATTTGATACAATAGCTACTTTTTTCTCTCTTCAGGACGATCGCTAAGCCTCTTTACGTGCCCTGGGTGTAATTAGGGAACTTAAGCAATGGACGTTTTCGGGGCGACGGCGACTTAGACCGGAAGTTAAGTCATGACCCGTGCATTACTGCGCATGATTTAGCCAACTTCCCAGCCGTCGCAGGGACGTCGACGACGTGAAGAGCGAGTGTTTGCCGTTGTGGTGAAAACGTGAGTGTTAGCTTTCTGTTTTGGTCATTTTTGTGACCTCTAACAAATGCTATTTTTCGAAATCTTACTTTTGATTTCATTATTAATATACAGGTGACTTTTTAGCTCGATTTAACTGTTCTTTTTTGCCTTAAATTCGTCCTAACTTGTGAGTTACTCTTCTTTCTAGCTAAACGCATATAATGGCCAACTCAACAAGCACAAAATCGTAAGTGAGAATAACAATTGAATCTGTCTGTAGATTTGTACAAAAATATTCAGCCAGGGTGTACTTTGAACTCATTTCTTTGACCATTTCTATTTATTTTCAGCGGGAAAACAGTAGTTTACAGCGAATTGCGATAGTTCACTTCTCTACTAATACTGAAAGGTTTAGCTATAAGTATAAACATGTAAACATGTTACAACTGCTTGGTCTCGCTAATTTCACGAGAATGTCATTTTAATACAATTCAGTGAAAAGTTCATTTTTAAAAACCTTTGGAAAGCGAGTTATATTCTCTTGAGAAATCAGTGCCTCCAATAAACTGAACTTTTCTTTAAACGGACATTTATGATTTGAGGGAGCTTTCCAAAGTACACAGCTGGATATTGAATTGTCTTTTTATGACAAATGTTTTTTTTTTACGGTCAAACCAGCCCAAGACTCCATGAATGGATCGATTATTTATATAAACTTTCTAGCTTTCGTTAGTCAGATTTCGAAATTCAGTATTCATGCATGCGCAATAAACAGCTAATTTGTGTCAAATTAAGAATTAAGAATTCGATATTACTGCATCTGTTGGAACTTTCTCCATTCAAAAGCTTGAAAGATTTTTCAATCTAACGAAATTCTGAGATGCTGTAGTTTCTAAAATTCATTGCTAATTACGCATGCAGGAATGCTGAATTTTAATTCTTACAACACAAAAATATGCAAATGATCTAGCCATAAATGGTTGCTATGGGTTTATTCTTGTCCTCGTTCAACTGAAAAATAGCTTTTCATGTCTAGTGTTAGAACTTTTACAATAATTGTTGTAAGGTAAAATTTGTATGTCTCATGGACAACCAGACAATTGCACCAGAATTTTAAATTAGCCTGTTTCTGTTCTCTGTTGCATGTGCAGCTATCAATCACAAATTAAAAAAAACAATCTTTTTTTGTCTTAATGTTACCTAGAACAGTGATGGAATGGACAAAGCAGCATGACAAGGCTCTTCTGGGTGAAATGACAATCAGTGATCTTTTTCAGTACAAGAAGGGCACTCCAGAAAGGGGTCAATTATGGGATTCTATTGCTGGTAATTTAAATGCAATGGATTACCCAAAGTTTAAAGTTGTAAAACGGTCATGTCGCGATCGTTGGACACTGTTACACACAAAGTATAAAAGAAGGATGTCAGAAGAAATCCAAGCAACTGGAATAGATGCTGAGGTTGGAGAACTTGATGAGATCATTGAAGATCTTATTGGAAAAGAAGATGCTGCTATTGACAGTGATAAAGAAGGAAAGAAGAAAGCTGAAGCTGATAAAAAGGCAGCAGAAGAAATACGGATTAAGGCTATGGAACGGTTTGGAAAAACCAGCAAAAGAGGTGGAGAGGATGGAGAGGAAGGAGCCAAAAAGAAAAAAAGGAGAAGTGGCAGTGATGCAGTAGAATTTCTCAGAGAAAAAGCAAAGTTAGAACATTCTCTGAGAGAGGAAGAGCTACAGTTAAGGAAAGATCAACAAAGCCAAACACTGTTGATATTACAGCAACAACAGCAGATGAATCAAGCATTGCTCACCCTCATGGAAAAAATGTTGCCTAAAGAGAGGAATTAACTGTTAATTACTGTAACTTAATTTGTTGTTGTTAGCCAATGGTGTCTTTTTGAATGGCACTTTGCAGAGAGAGATTTGAATTTATGTTCATTAACTTTCATAGGACAATGGCATTTATGAAAGAAATGTTTACATTTTCATGTTATAATCATTTGAATTTGCTTATTATGATAAATGCCTCTTGGAAACTTTGGTGGCTTCTCATTCATGCAGAAGCTGGTACGAAAAAAGACAAATAAGGCTTAAACATTTTGTTGTTAATTTATTGGTTAAAATTGTTGGACTGTACATGTTGAATATATGTTTATAACAAGTGTCTGAAATTTTGTGCCTCACAAACTCTGCTACACCCAACAACCCTTGACCATGATAGGTTTATATGCATTTTTTTTTAAATCAGTTGATTGGGAGGGGCTGCTCCTCAGATTTCAAAAGGTAATGTCCAAGTTATTGCATACCATAACTGTTTCAAATTATAAAATTTCATAAGAAGATAAAGTTCTCTTTTCTTCAACACATCAGCTATGCAAAATAGTCTTGCAGGGTGGGAGGCCCCAAGGTCAAAAAATGTTGCAGTATTGTTGCCATACAAGCAACTCAAAGCATTTTGCAGAAGTGCACAAACAATGTACATCTTTCCAATGCTGCTCATTCCTATCTTGAGATTCTTTTTAAAATCCACGAACTTGAAATATTCTATGATATCTCCAAATAACCACTCTACAGACACCCTTACTGAACTCATTGAACTGTTGTATGCTTCCATCAAGGGAGTAAGGTGGGGGTTCCGGAATGGCCCCTGAAGATGGACTCTTCGGGGATAAGCAGGGTCACCATACAAACACATCGGTAGCCCTGTTGCTGAGTAGGCATAGGCTTCCAGGTTTTGAAGTAGCCCAGAATCATGCAACATCCCTGCATCATGCCTCCTACCCTCTAAAGTAAAGAAAAACAAAGTAATAAACTTAAGGTACTTACTATATAGTTCAACCTATAACTTCCTAATTTTAATATACAGCAACAGAAGTGATAGTAGTGATCTTTTGTTCTTACATTTGCTCCAAACTTCTAAGATCAAGCAGTACTTTTTATATACTGCCATATATAGGCAAATGACTTTTCATTAAATTTTAGCCATGTCCTTTAAAAACTGCATCAGGTTATTCAAATCAATGCTACCCCTATTTTTGCAAACAGTATTAAAGTAATATTGTTCAATGGCACTTACCCACAGGGCCAAACATATTGGCAATGAGCCCATTAGGTATGGCAACCGACTGAAAATTGAGAGCATGTACTCTCTTGTGCCCATTGTAAACGATTCTCTGCATATCTCCTGGTTTGGAGATCGGTCGTACGGTACCATCAACAAAGCCAAAACAGTTGTCTAGAGCTGCTCCTTTTTCTGTGATGACAGTGGCATATTGTTCAAGCAATCTGGGATTCAGTATGGTGTCATTCCACTGAGTGATTCGGTGGCCATGTGCATCATAGATAAAATCCATGACTCGGTTCGTGATCATGCACAGTTCAGGAACAGGTCTTCCAAAACGCGCGATCATATCGCTGTAACGACAAGGATAAGCTAACCGTTTTAGTAGCATACACAGTCCTTCCATTCCATCGCATATAGTCCTCTGTGGGCATTTGAAAGTGGGTGGAATCCCGAGTACTTCTCTTAGTGTAGGAAGATCTCTTTTCTCTACGCGAAATTCTGCTTTGCATTCGGCTTCATCTATGTTTTCGAGGTCGAACGGACCATAACTATCCCAAGGAAAATCTGGGTTGCTTGACTGATTGTTCTCCCATAAAACGAGAAATTCATCATCGGAAAGTAAATTTTCAGCATAACACAGCAGTGTTAATTCTCTCGTTTCTTAAAAAGAAGTCATTTTTTTCTTTGGAAAGCCACTCCGTCGCCGTCTGAATGAACTTGCCGTTTAAACAGTTGAATTTGGCGGGAGGCGACGGCTACATCGGTCCCAGCTTCCCTCTGCCACTCCAGTCGCCGTCGCCCCGAAAACTTCCGTTGCTTATAGTCAGGAGGCAGCTCGCCAAAAAACGATTTTCGCTAAACGTTTTGAGTAGAAGCAGGCAACATAGCTTAAAATCTTCGTCTTGCCACCCTGATTAAGAATCGTGCTGTTGCCCACTCCAAATGTTATGATATCTGTCACTAAGCGGGTTTTTTGTCTAGGCCCTCGCTCCTCCAGCATGAAAACGAGGCTGAACTGTAACATTTATATCAACCCAATAAACAGTGCACGATACGATGGGGAAATAGTTGAATCTTTGCTACTTGACATTTAGAGCTCGATAGACAGTAGTGTGGGGGATAAAATGCGTCACGTGACTAGTTATGAAGAGTCACGTGACTTTTCAATTAAATCGGTTTTAAAGCATAAAAGACGCTCTATTCACACTTTCCTTTAATATAGTTTTCAACTTACTGACGTTTCTCACTTCGATTTACACATCCAACAATAAAAACAAAAATGCAACGGGTGATCAGCTATGATGGGTCACGTGATGTAATGAAATCATTCTATTTTCAGTCATTCTATAGCGTTTCCAACCTATGTAACATTTCCTATGAGTTAGCATTTTTCATGTAAAAAGACTGAACTTTCTTCTACTTGGCCGCACGGTTTAAGCCAGAAATACAAGCTTATAAACCATAAGCAAAGTATCTTGTATTACACAAGACCGCCATGTGACTTCCACCTTATCAAAGTTATAGGTCATGCTTCATTCGCCTCTTCGGCAGTGTTCCTGTCGTTTCTGCACCTGTCGCCACATTTACATGCCTTGGAACAGCAAAGAGATAGTTGAACGCAAGTGCAGCGTCGGTTTACACAGCATCCGCCTTCTCGGGAGCACCCACAGTATGCTAACTGTAAACACGCCGCTGACACTTCTTCTCGCGTCATTAACTTTGGCTTCAGAAGGCCTTCACTGTAGTACCATCCGCTGTCTTCAGGTTTTGGGAGAGAAGGACATGGTTCCAGTGCTTTATTCCATACCATAGTCTGATACTTTGCCCACTTTATGTGGAGAATCAGTGCATCTTGAGTCGGAGGTAGGGCGTCAAGATCTTTCTTGGATTTGCGAAACGCTGCTGCTCTTTCTTTATTGATTTCCACCTCTTGTGTTCCCGGATTGTACTGAAACAATTAATCAATCACGCAATTCACACAGCCAAGGCTAATTCAGTATCTATCCAATGGTTGTTATCTAGTCACGTGACCCATCATATCTGATCACCCGTTGCATTTTTGTGTTTTTATTGTTGGATGTGTAAATCGAAATGAGAAACGTTAGTAAGTTGAAAACTATATTAAAGGAAAGTGTGAATAGAGCGTCTTTTATGCTTTAAAACCGATTTTATTGGAAAGTCACGTGACTCTTCATGACTGATCACGTGACGCATTTTATCACCCACACTACTGTCTATCAAGCTCTAAACGTCAAGTAGCAAAGATTCAGCTATTTCCCCATCCTATTGTGCACTTTTTATTGGGTTTATATAAATGTTATAGTTCAGCCTCGTTTTCATGCTGCAGGAGCGAGGGCCTAGACAAAAAACCCGCTTAATGACAGATATCATAACATTTGGAGTGGGCAACAGCACGATTCTTAATCAGGGTGGCAAGACGAAGATTTTAAGCTATGTTGCCTGCTTCTACTCAAAATGTTTAGCGAAAATGAAAAATGAGCGCCCCTCGTGACAGTGCTTCCTGACTATTAAGTTCCCTATTATTTCGTTTGAAGCAACGTTCTCGAGAAGATTATGTGAAGGGTAAGTCGAGCCATGAATTATGAATCGATGCACACTAAAAATTTGAATTTCGCACTTAAGTTAGGGTCTGTTTTGTATTCAGACCAACTGTTTTACTTCTAGGGGTCGTTTCTGATCTAGATTACAGGGACAGGGAAATGCTTTCGTTAAGATTGGATCACGTAATGCGTATCAGTAAAGGCGGAAGTTGCCATTTTTGTACGCGTGTGGAAACTAAAAGTGAAACCCTTTCCACACAGTCTGTTTTCAGGTGCTAGAGAGTGACTTGCTTTCTCTTATTCAATAAAACGTTTTCCGAGAACTCGATTTAGGCATATTTGTCGATACAATTTTTTCAACAAGATTATTGTGCCTTCAAATTCAATCTGATAATAAACCATATAACATTTGACCACAAGTAATGCTTGGACAAACACTTTTATAACTAACTAATTTTCCACAAAACGTGATTCTCATTTAATGCATATGAGCTAATACATCAAATAATGCTAAAACATAATATTAAAAGGGAGGTTTTCTGATTCAGAAAAGCGAAGAGATAGAAAGATTTCCCTAGCAAATAACCATTGTGAAAGGTGGGATGAAAAGAAAATGGCAAATGAGGTTCAGTGTGCACTAAAGAGGCTATTGAGTATTTAAACTTTAATCCGAAAGCAATCTTTTTCAGTACTTTAGCATATAGCTTTACTTCACTAGCAACGGGAACCACTGAATAGTCTGTGATGTTTAATTATGCACCAGTCAATTTGAAGTTGCAACATATTCCCTCCTCGCCACTCTGGGCAACCCACTCTCATCTGACTGTTATTGATGCCCAGGAGGTTGGGAATATGTCAGTTTTGGCTGGATGCGGTGGGAAATTTCAACCAAAAGTGTCAAGTCTTTCTATAAGTGGAATAAATATGTTTTATCTTCAGGTTATAGAGGTGTTCACTTCTGCATTTGAGCAGCTTAGAATAAATGCTGTGTACAACATCTTGATGTAATTTAGTGTGAAAAGTCAAATCAGTTGCTGGTCAATGAGTAGATTCAAAGTCACAGACTTTGCAAATTTGATGGTCAAAAACTTGACCATTAAATTGCCACTTCCATAGGGTATTTAATTGAACACAATTTTGCTGAGTTGGGAGTTTGAATGAACCAATCTTCTAATAATTAATTGCTCAGGGGGTTGCTTGAGGGGAGGTGGATTTTGAGCCATCAAATTGATTGATGCATTACTTGTAGTTATATTTTATCAAGCCAGCTCCCAATTTGTGCACTTTAGTATAACAATACAAGATTGTCTCTATTCCCATGGTGATGATTCTACTTGAAGCACATGCATAGCCCGAGTTTCCCAAAAACTATCAATGTTTTTCTTTGGAATTTTTGGAATGACATATTTTCATATTATGTTTCCTCAGTTCCCAGTTTAACCTGCTGTGTTCTAAAGTTTACAGACACATGTAGTGTCCATGAATTAAAATATCTGAGGGTTTTACCATTATACGATTCCTCTTAAGTTTGACTATTTCTGTAATGACCCCTTTTCAGCATGATCGAGTGAAACAGCCTTTAATGTCATTGTTTATGTCTTTTAGATTGTGGTAAAGCTTTCTTTGCTTCATTACACTGTCTTATAGGAACAATTACTGCCTTAAATATAGCACCTTAACTGTAATTTTTGTGAGTGTCATTATCTCTCACAATTAATAAGTATGTATTTTATGCTTTTCTTTTTCAGGAATTATGACATGTCTATCATTTCTGACTGCTCATATTGTGATTTCTTGTAGGCAGGAAATCTAAACAGGGTAGGTATAGATGTTCTTTTTCTTTCTCTTTTCTTGTAGCATTTTCCCTCTATTTTTTGCCTCTTTCAATATGATACATATATTGAAGGATTTTTTTTTTGTCTCTTGTTCTCATGGGAATGAAAGAGTTATTATGTGCCATTCTTTATTTTTTATGAATATCATTTTGCTTTGAATATGAAACATAAGGTTAAAATGATGAGATAGTTAATTTGCATCAATTTTATCCTAGTGGTTTCATTGATCCTGTGAATTAACACACAGGAGTATAAATTGTATTTTGTGATCCTTCAATAGTGTGCTGCACCATGTTTTATTATATTTCAACTTGCAGCTGAGAAGCATCTTATGATTAAGAAGTTGCTTTGGTTGTCTTTTTTGGGTAATGACCAATATAGGATGCAATTGCTCACTCTGCATGATGTAAGGTTTTGTCTTTGATTGGCCTAAGTGGATCATGGTGGTTTTTTTATTTGTTTTCTTTTTTAAATTCCAGTTGAATTTGGATAATTACATAGATAAATGGGGTATTAGTTTCTAAAGAAACTGTGGTGCTGTGTCAGTGGGAGAGTTTAACAAGGTAATTTAGTATTATCAACTGAGTTGATAAGGTAAATTGGCCACCGTAAAGCGTTTAAAAGCTGATGTTTCGAGTATCAGTCCTTTGTCAGAGTGATTGGGTCAAAAAACATCAGCTTTTAAACTCCTTAAAATAAGTGGCCAATTTATGTTTTCAACCCAGTTGATAAAACTAAATTGCTTTAATTAATAATTGTATACTGTTGCTGTTATCACTTTTAACCTTGAGGCACCTGTTAGTGCTCTTATTTGTGACTGTCATTATCTTTCATAACTGCATGATATATATTTAGGAATATGGAAGCAATCCTCACAATTATTAACACCACTAAACTAGTTGAAAAAAAATTCAGGCCTGTATGGGATTTGAACCCATAACCTCTGTAATACCAGTGCAGCACTCTATCAACCATCAGCTAACAAGTCAACTGGGAGCTGGTCACAATGTTGAATGCAAATAAACCTTCCAAGTGGTGAATAATGACAGTAAATATATAGAAATCATATATGTGCACTGCAGTTGAAGAAATGAACATAGAAGCAATCCTCACAGTTATGAACACTATTGAAGTCATAGTTGAAATAAGGCCTGAAAAAAATTCAGGCCCATACAGGATTTGAACCAATGACCTCTGTGACCATTAGGACTAGTTTAGTAGTGTTCTTAACAGCAACAATCCCTTCTATATTCATTTCTTTAACCCCAGTGTACATATATGATTTTCATATATTTACAGTGATATAAATTTGTTCTGCTGCTTCCCTTTTCAGACTTTCTGACATTATCCCTGATTCAAGGGTCTGATTCAAGGGTCTGATTCAAGGGTCTGATTCAAGGGTCTGATTCAAGGGTCTGATTCAAGGGTCTGATTCAAGGGTCTGATTCAAGGGTCTGATTCAAGGGTCTGATTCAAGGGTCTGACCCTTGCGAACTGAATTCCCAGTTTTCTGGGAATTCCTAGGAATTCTCAAAAATGCCCAACTATGCAAATTAACTCTGATTTAAAAAGCTTGGAATTACTGGGAATTTCTGGGAAAGTAAGACTCTAGTTTTGTGAAGACTTGGAATCCCTAGGAATTCCTAGGAATTCTCAGCTTTACAAACTACCTATAATTTAAGAAGTGTGGAACTCTTGAGAATTTCTGGGAATTGAATTTGAGGCAATTTTAATACCCTGAGCCAGGAATTCTGGTGAGTCAGTCCATGCAATTTTGGTGAAGCTGTGAGAACTAAGCAACTTTGTGACCAATAAGTTTCTGGCATTTGCGACTCAAAGATGGTTATGAGGGAAGGAGTGTATCAGAAGTACTTGTGTCATGTTCCCTTTAAGGACACCCTCGTGAAGTTGTGTACCAACACAGGCGTGTCTGTGAAACCTATGAGGTTTCACAATGTAACTGTTCAATACAGAGAACAGTGTAAGGAACTTCCAATTTATGTAATGAAGAATGAGGGACCCACTCTCTCTGACTGAGAATGGTTAGAGACTATTCAGCTGGATTGGCCTTACTTCAGTCAGAAACATCACACACCATTCCTGCCCTGGAAGATGTGTTGAGCAAACACGCTGGTGTTTTCTGTGAAGGTTCGGGCAAGATGAAGAATATTCAAGCACAGATACAGCTAAAACAAGATGCTCGGCCTTGATTCTGGACAGCCCACCCAATTGCATTTGCTCGTAAACCAGCAGTGAACAAGGCTTTTCATTAAGAAGGTAGCAACCAGAAAGTGGGCAGCCCCAATTGTGACTCCTGTGAGGAAAAGATGGTGGTGTAAGTAAGGGTATGTGGTGATTTCAAAGTGACGATTATTCCTCATTTGGAAATCAGTGAGTGCTCTCTTCCCCGCATTGATGGGTTACATTATTCAGTGACCTAGACATGTGTCATGCTTACTTAGAAATGGAGGTTGAGAAACAATCTAGACCTTTCCTTACTATTAACACAACCCATGGTTTGTACCAGTACCAACGTTTACCGTATATGGTGTGGCTTCAGCACTAGCCATCTGGCAAAGGACCATGGACAAGGTCCTACAAGGCACTTTAGGGGTCTCTTGCTACCTGGACGACATCATTGTAATGGACAGGACCATGGAGGAACACCTTGAGTGGCTTGTTGCAATGTTGAGGAGGCTTGAAGAGTATGGTTTTAAGGTTAACCAGGAGAAGTGTAAATTTCTTGGAAGCTCTTTGGAGTATTTGGGACATCATCTTTGCAGAAGGACTACACCAATCTCCCAAGAAAGGAAAAGCCATCACCGAGATGCCAAAGCCTCAGGATGTCATACAGCTGCACACCTTCCTTAGCATGGTCCAGTATTGTGCAAAATTCCTACCTTCCATCGGTTATTACAGAATAGTGTGAGGTGGTCGTGAGGAACCAAGGAAGACACCTGTTTCAGGATGTTGATGCACTATGACTCCAAACTACTTTTAGTTCTAGCCACAGACAGCTCCTCATATTGTTTCGGGGCTGTCTTAACACACCGTACATTACAGGGAGAAGAATGGCCCATGGCTTATGCATCCTGATCTCTGTCTAAAACAGAGAAGAAATACTCACAAATTGAAAAGGAAGCCCTATCCCTTGCCTGTGGGGTGAAGAAGTTCTAAACCTACCTGGAAGGTTGTAATTTTACCCTGGTGACTGACCATCAGCCCTTGAAGTACATAATGGATCTGGGGAAGGTGGTGCCAGTAATGGCAGTAGCAAGAGCACAATGTTGGTGCCTTTTTCTGGTTGCTTTTTCATACTGCATTGAGTTCTGAGGTACAACACAGCACGCTAATTGTGACAGTCTCTCTCATCTTCTTCATGCACAGGCACCAGATGACAAGCCAGATGAAGTGGAAATGTTTCACATAGCTGTAGGCAAGGCCGTACCTTTCACAGAAAAAGAGCTGAGAAAGCAGACCTGTAGAGACCCAATACTTTCTCGTGTTCTAGAGCTCGTAAAGACGGGATGGCAGGAAGCAGAAGCTCACACCGAGCTCATTCTCTTTGCCCACAGCAAAAGTGAACTCAGGACTCATTAGGGAGCTCCAATGTGGGGTAGTAGAGTGGTTGTTCCAACGAAACTGAGAGAGAGGGTTTTGGAAACACTTCATGAGGGTCACCCCAGAACCAAAAAGTCAGCAAAAGAGCCCTTAACCAGAGTTAATTACTATCCGTGTGATGAGTTGTTAGGCCACCCGTCAGATTTCAGGACTTTGTTTGCGATTATGGAGAACTTTTTTCATGAGAGTGCAGGACTTTGCTCGCAATTAGAGAACTTTATTTTATTCTACTCTTTATTGTGTAATGTTTGTGTTTTAAGTCTTGAGGGAATGAAATGGTTAAATCTTTCTGTATGGGTTTTTTCTAGTACCCAATGCAACGCAATTTGTACACGAGGTTGAGGTTTTGTTGACAGATTAGAAGAGAAAATTTACCGATTTAGAATGGGTTCCCCTCTCTGGAGTATGGAAAAGGTCTAGTTACCAAGTTGGTTATTTTGGTTGACCGAGTAATTAATTTCAGGTGTTGACGACCTTCCAGTACTTTGTGGTAGGGGTGCCAGATATGAACCTAGTAATTAATGGCTTTGCTCACCATCAACTTATAGTTGTTGGTACTGGCTTCAACTTCTCATTGGGATTCAGATTTTCCTCTTTGTCCCATACAGATGACAGGGAATAAAAATATCCTTTTTCTGGTAAAATAATGTTCACCCCACGGGTGGTAAACATCTTACCAGAATTTAACTCCAGTTTTAGAAGTTATGTTCTTACTGGTGTCATGATAGTACATGGTGATGAATGATGCTTGGCAGCTCTGTTGCATGCTAGTGACCCCATTTAGTTGCCTTGTCTTTGGAGGTTCAGTTGCAGATGGAGTTTGCATCCCCTTTCTTTTGATGCTGCATGTGGAACAAGGCTGTTTGTTGGGTTTCTTTGCCAGTATTTGTTGTGTTGGTATTCCTGGTCTAGTTTTGGAGTGAGTTCTATTGGCTGAACTGGTAAGAAACTGATTACCATATTGATCACAATTTTCTGAACACAGTGTATTTTGCTTTTAACTATGTCGTTTTTGTCTTTGTTGGGGCGGTGATGGATGATACTTCTGCAATTATGCTTCAAATAACTAAGTTGGTGCAGTGACCTTTGCAGGTTGTTACATGGAGGTTGCGTTGTCTTGCTTTGATGTTACACTGTGGTTTACATATTTGTGTCTGCTTGTGGATCATATTGGAGTTCTGGAGGTTTTCAGGTTTAGGTATAATAGTCACACTGACAATGGTCAGATCTTTGTGATGCTGGCGGAATTTTTGTTGGACTTGTCCTTGCTCTGGAGACTGGAGCTGCTCTTAAATTACTGGAGATTCTTTAATTATAAGGAGTCATTATTTTCCAGTTGAGGTGACTATGGTTTCAGTGTTAATGGTATTGGCTTAATGCCTATGGCTTTGCTTTTTATTGTGTTGAGCATGACTTGATTTTTTGTGTTACTTGATTGTTAGTGATGGTTGTAGTTCTCATGTGGTTTTGGAAGCGCTGATAGATGGGGAATGTAAGGTGTTAGGAGTTCTGCTACATTTTACATCTCTTCTCTGATAAATTATAGGAAAGTGATGTTTGTTTCAGTGGTAATTGGTGATATTATTGCAGTTACAATACTCTTAGATCAATTTTAAAGCCTACCTATGCAATAGTTTTTGGCAGTGTTAAAGGTGGTAATGTTCCTGAACGTGATGATCTGCACGCAAATCTGTAGCAACATAGCTAACTTAGTTGTACTTTGTCAGCTGTTCCTCATTAAAAGCTTGTAGTAGACGTTAATGTCCAGTTTTGCCTCCTTTTATTAGCACTGATAAAAAACTCAGAAGTTCTGAAGAGCAATTGGTTTGAAATACTCAAGGTAAGGTGACGTGCTGGGCTATGAAAGAGTTTTAACGGATGCTTTCATTACTAGTGAGGGAGAGGTCTTGGATTGGAACATCCCAAAAAGATAGCCTTACTTAGAACATTCAAGTGTATAATCATGCTCTATGTTAACTTTTGTACCTTGAAGGCAGATTACAAAATAAAACGTTAACCAGCCAGAAGTGACTGAGTTTGAGGCCCTCAATAGGAAATAAAAACTCTTTTTGGTGATTCTTTCCCTTTAACCTTTCAAATCACGTTCATTTCTGCTGATTATGTTTTGGGTTACTTTGTAAACTGGAAAAAAATCTCTTTCTCAATCCAAAAACAGTGTTGTGATTAATTATTGACAGAATTATTTTTTAATTTTATACTCTTTTGTTTTTCTTTGGTAGAGTATTGATCAACATAAATTTATAGGACCACACCCAAAGGTTTTTATGTGATTATCATAATCTTATTCAACCCATTTTTTCTTAAGGGTTTTCCCTCTTCATATGTAGCTGCTAGATCACATGGCGAGGCAAGTCAAATCAGTCGAATGAAGTCTGCCACAGGATTGAAGGTGACTCTCCTCGGCAGTGAGTGGAGTTCGTCAATGGGGGGCTTGTCCACCATCAACAGACAGCTTGCCATTCACTTGGCCAAACACTCTGAGGTGGACGTTACTATCCTTGTCCCACAGTTTGCCTGTTTTGAAGACGAGAGGAGAAAGGCATCAAGTCACAATGTTTCCATCCAGGAAGCTAAGAAACTGGTTGGCTTTAGTGATCCTCTTGATTGGTTGAGTTTCCCACCAAGAGACCTTGACATTGACTTTGTGCTGGGTCATGGTGCAAAGCTTGGTAAGCAAGCCCAAGTTATCAGAAATTCTCACAATTGTAAGTGGATTCAGGTGGTGCACACTGCACCCGAAGAACTTGCAATGCACAAAAACTATCCCAAGGCTATTTCCAAAGGTGAAGAGAAGAATTTAACTGAAGTGGAGTTATGCAAGTTGGCAGATGCTGTACTAGCAGTTGGACCAAAGCTAGCAGACGCTTTCTCCACTCAGCTCCGCTCATGCAAGAGTCAGGAAGACATCCTTCAACTGACTCCTGGAACTTTCTGTGAGTTCTATGACGTAAAACAAGCAAAAAAGGAGAGTAACAAGTTTAAGGTACTGACGTTCGGCCGTGGTGATCCTGAGGACTTTAGTCTTAAAGGGCACGATATCTCTGCCAGAGCAATATCTGAACTAAAAGACAGGTCTTACAGTCTCATATTCGTGGGTGCACCTGACGGTAAACAGGATGAGGTTGCAGCAAATTTGCTGAAGAGTGGAATCGATAAAAGCCAGCTGACCGTGAGGAAGTTCGTGCAAAGCAAAGGGAGATTGAAAGAATTATTTTGTGAAGTTGATCTCTGCATCATGCCCTCCAGAACGGAGGGTTTTGGTTTGACGGCGTTAGAAGCGTTGTCTGCTGGTCTTTCCATTCTTGTCAGCGGCAACTCAGGATTAGGTGAAGCACTGTGCACTGTACCATCAGGCAAATCATTCGTGGTGGAGTCTGAGGACCCTGGGGAGTGGGCAAAGGCAATTGCTGGTATCCGACAGATGGAAAGTTCAGTTCGACTTCAATCTATTCAACAACTGAGGATTTCCTATGAAGAGAAGTTTAGCTGGGAGAAACAGTGTGACAATCTTGTGGAGAAGATGTGGGACATAGTTCGTGGTGAGAATGTTTTGAATATCCTTCAAAAAGTGTTTTAGGGCTACTTGGCTTACTCGGTCTCTCATTAACTGTGATGGAAAGCATGAATATCTCAAAAAAAAATGTTGAACATGAATAATAATCAGTTGAGTTATCCTCTTATGTTATCCTCTTGTTGATTGCTGTGATATTAAACAAAAGTTCCTTTCTATCTTTTTAGATTCTAAAAGACAAGACACAAGGTTCAAAACTCAACTGGTTGAAGTTGATTCATTACTGACCCTACGTGAGTGATAAAATATTAATAACACATGATAATTGACATCCTTAAGGAGCTTCAACAGTTCCTTACCTTAACTTTCGACTTCAGGCCAGTTAGGCTTCGTGAAAACTTCGTGAGGTACTTATGATTATGTTCCTTACGAATTAGACATGTTGTTATTTATACCCCTGCACTCTTCAGTCATAGACGTAAGACGTGTAGGAACAAATTTGATTTTCTTCCACTTTCTGATCCGGACAGATGGTGTAGTGTTATTTATTTCTTTTAGCAATTTGAAATTCATCCCCTTTTTAATTGGAAACTACCACAAATTGCCTGAAAAGGGTTTACTTGGGGCATTCTTTTGCTTTTTCTCAAAACGAAAACAAAGTTTAAATGCTGTCCCCTATCAAAACCGGTCTATGCTCATTTCACAATACTGTTGCCTTTCGACACAACATTGGAGTAATTGCATATTCATACGATAGAGGAAATACATCAGATCATTTTTCGAAGCCCGTCATTTTTTGCTAGGACTCCTTTTTTCCAGTTACTCAGATATGTCGGAGTGTAGACTTCGCCGTTAATTATTCTTCTCTGCTTCTTCTCTCTTGATTATTAGTGTATTCATTCACGGGCAGATATCGAACGTAAAATGTTACTTAATGACTGCTAGAACATCCTTTTTAAGGCTGATTTGTTGGACAAAAAAGCGGAAGTCCGGTGGTTTAAGCCCTTCTTTTCCTTTTTACCTCAAAGTTTCTCTTAGTAGTTGGAGGATTGCTTTTTTATAGCAAACGATTGTGTCGCAGTTAGATTTATAAAAACCTTGTCTTTTATAGGTTCTCTCGACCAAATCATCCAGAAACTTCAGCAGATGCAACTCGATGCAAGCAAAGTCAAGAGCAGAACAGATCTATCACTGTGGCTGAGGAATATTGCATCAGTCAGGGGTTTCAGAATATCTGACAATGAAGGATTAGGAAATTGCATGTTCTATGCCTTATCCGAACAACTGGAAATTGTTATGGGAATCAAAATCCCACATGGCGAATTAAGACAAATCTTGGTGCAGTACCTTAGGAGTAACCCAAAACTTGTAAGTCCATGTATGTATTTCTAACAGAGTATGTCACGTGATGTTATTTTAAGAGTATTATAAATATTTAGTGATAAAACAGGTCACATGGCTAACACTACCTGAACCTATACCAGTGTTCACGACGTTAAGTGACCAGAATTACTGTTACTCCTCCTGTACGGAATGAGTATTATCCATGTCGTTTTTCAGGAGCTCTGATATCAGCTTGTACTCCTGGTGGAAAAGGGAACTTGGGAGATTTAACTTCATTATTAAAGAAGCCACACAATGATGTTGATTACCATTAAATTCATATTACTTAATGTGTGTCCGAAGAAGTACGCTATCATGGTTTTTAGTCATTTGAATATTTCAGTTTAAATAAAGTTCCCTTTAAACCTTCATCAGATAACAGAATTCTAGTCACTCTCTTAATGATGGATCTTTCTTGTTGTTTTCCTGCTGTTTGTAAAGTCTTTGGAATATACACGGAGGTTTTGAAAGACGTTTCAAACCCAAAATTTGTTACTATACAGTTAATTGCTAATTAACGGTCGTCTCGTACCATTCTGACAAAATTACTCCCTGACTCGTACTCCACGCGCTCAAGTTCCTATTAAAGTTTCCTTCTTTAACTGATCTTTATTACAGCCGGATGGAACAGATCTGTTTCACTTTGTCCATGGGCATCAAACATGGACTGAATACCTAGAATGCATGGAACAAGATGGCGTTTGGGGTGATCACGTGATTCTGTGTGCTGCAGCAAACTACTTTCAAACGTGCATTCGTGTGGTCAGCAGTCTATCTCTTAGCAATGATGTAATCATTACGCCACATTGTCCATTTGACGAAAGCAAACCTTTTGTGTTGGGACATATTCATGAGGTGCACTATGTTAGCCTTCAACCCGTGCAAGGTACAGCTCATTACATTACTTCAATTGAATGTAATTTTTGTTTTATAGTGATATTTGTTAGTTAGGATCCTCAATATGTGGGATGAATGGGATTGCAAGGAATCTGAGGCTACCTCTCGGATTGGATAGTTTTCTGACTACACTCATACATATTTGGCCGTGGAGGGTTATTGTCTAAATTTAGTTCTATTTTCGTTAGGGACATAACGAATCTAACTTCCTTGACCGTTAGATGTGACCTGCATATTGTTGGATAAACTAATACAATCCTTCCACCATTCATAATTTATTGTAGAGTATTCCATTCTACATGGAAAAATCGCTGAATGAGGGTCGTCTCAGTGAAAAGGGGCAGGATAAGGTGTATGTGGTTATTTTACATTTCCCGAGTAAAAAACTGTGAACGAAACCTCCCACTTCATCTCAGGGGACCTCAGGTTTTCTCCAACGTTTTTCTTTTTCTCATGATTAAAAGAGGTGAAAAAGAGGGCGGAAAGGCGTTCTTTTGTTTTCATTAATTAGTTCTTACAGTGTCTTTCTTTACCTACAAAGCCCCAGTTGGAGAAAACAAGGATGAAGGTCAGTTGAAAATGGTGGCTGCCTTGTTTAGTCGGGAATCGCTAGAGCACTCCTGGATATGGCCTTCTTGAGATCATATCAATGCCTGTGTACAAGGTGCTGCTGTTCCCTTACGTGAATACATACCCCTGCTTGTAGGATTTTAAATAAAAAGTAAAAAGAGAAGTTGAAGTATGAGTTAAAATCAGACCACAACCCTTATTCCCAAATGCAAGCGAAATAAGTTAATTTTTTAGATCGATCCTACACATGTACAGAAGAAACTTGGAGTTATCTCAGAGGACATTCACGGAAATTATGCGGAAGGTTACGAGAACGCATATTAGCTCTTTCACCGACATGAGTAGAAATGTGATTTCTATTGGGATTAGAGGTTGGGCTACTGGGCTCGGTCATCTTTTCGATGCATTGAATAATTGCAAGTTTGTAGGCTTTAAAGGGATAATCGCACGCCATTGATAATACTCATTTCTTCCCATTACCTAATCTATCTAATGTGTTAAAAGAGGAATACGCTGTTTGCATTAAAAATAGAGCTCAATTGATTGGTTGATTATTTGGTGTTGTTTGTTTACATGTTACCTATTTCTTATTTTTTTGATTCACTTTCAATTCGATCTTGATTGTTTAGATTTATTAATGTGCGTTTCTCGATTGTCCCATTTACAGTTCCTCCAGAGATTCGTGCTCGCGGTCCTCAAGCTTTAGAAGCCTACAACAATGCACTGGCGGAAGGCCAAGCTTGTGTCAAGAGAGTGCCTCTAATGATGGTTGGGCAAGATCGATCTGGTAAAACCAGCGTGAAGAATTCCTTGAAAGGGATTTGCTTCAACCCTGATGAAGATAGCACCCGGGGAATTGAGGTCGATCGCTATGATTTCAAAGTAACCACCGAAATATGGAAGACAGGAGAAAAGGACGAGGAGGCCAACATTGATGCCACAGTTATTTCATATGAGTATAATACAGCACGGTGGATGGCAGGTAAATTGAAAACGCATGAAAAAATTGCTGAAGTCAAAAAAACAAGCTCAGCCGAGCCAGCTGGCTATGATTTTGAGGAAATTGACAGCACAAAGGAAAGGGAACCCTATGAGACTTTAAGTGACGCGACCTTCCTAGAATCATTCATAAATCCAGTATCAACCAATGCCACCGACCTTGAACATAATTTATCTACGAAAGAAGTACGAAACCCTACAGAATTAGAACCAGGAAAAGATTCGCTTACCACAACGCTGGAAAAATTGCCGGATTTCGACGATGTTGCAAAGGTACTTTCGCAGTTCTTTCGAGAGAACCGGGAAGATGATCAAGAGGACGTCTATTCCATACTGTGGGACTTTGCTGGACAGTCGGTGTATTACGTGACGCACCCCCTCTTTCTCACGAGAAGAGCAATCTACTTTTTGGTCTATGACTTGAGTAGAAATCCAAGCGTCAAAGCCACACCATTGAAGAAGCAAGGAGTGTACAAAGCGTTCATTGCGGATGAATACAATCTGAAAACGAATTTCGATTACTTGGACTTCTGGATGAGTTCTTTAGCTTCCTTAGTGAGTGATTGGCCGTTGGCGTCCTTGAAGAAATTTCCCGCCGTTTTCCTGGTTTGTACACATGCTGATCAGCCCTATTGCGATCGTAATCCATTTGAACTAGCCCATGAAATATTTGGTGACTTAAAGAGCAAGCCATATGGTGCCCACTTGTTTGACGTGTTTTGTGTTGATAACACTAAGTCAGGCACTGAATCCGAATGTAAAGAAATTATGCGCTTACGAGCAAAGGTACATGTCGTTTCTAAAGAGTTACCACATGTAATCGAGCCTATTCCGATCAAGTGGTTGAAATACGAAAAGGCCCTTCGCGCCCTTAAGGAAAGTGATCACAAGTTCATCTCTCTCTCGAGAGCGAAAGAAATCGCTGCCAAGTTTTGTAACATTAACGATCACGAGGTACAGACAGTGCTAACCTTTTTGCACGATCTGCGAGTTTTGATTCACTTTGACGACTCTCCAGAATTGAATGAGTTGGTTTTCTTGGATATTCAGTGGTTGATTGACGTATTCAAGAATGTCATAACTGTCAGGGCCTATGACGTAGAGAGAGACTTTGCTCCTCTTTGGGAAGACCTCGAGAAAAAAGGAATCTTGAAAGAAAGCCTCCTCAAACATGTTTGGAACTCTTTGGTTCCTCAGAGAGAAACTCACGAAAGTCTTATTGCGATTATGGAAAAATTCAGCTTGATGTGTCCTTGGCCATCATCAGATGACTTGTGCAACAAACATTACTTGGTGCCATCGATGTTGCGACCGTTTCCATCAGAGAAGATTAGTAATCTAGTAGATTCTGCCCAACTCCCCTCTCTTTTCCTCAAATTTGATACAGGTCGGGTACCGCCTGGCTTATTTCCGCGACTTGTGCTGGAATTTTTTCAGTGGTGTAGAAAGGAATTTCCCGACGTACGTCTGCCCAAACCTTATCGCAATTTTGCCAGATTCAACATCTTTCCGAATCAAGGTCTCTCCCTGGTTCTCCTTTGCCACTCTTCCACAATTGAGGTCGTTGTCCTCAGTGTAAAAAGTGCTATTGATGTGGTCGATGTGGAATCAATTCGAGCTTTTCGTAACCAGCTAACCTCGATCATTGATCGGGTGCGGAAAAAATTCTTCTGGGTGAAGAACGTTGGATGCAAAGTGAGTTTTCTTTGTCCTGTTTGTTCCTATGGACGCGTGGTCAGCTTGTGCCCGCAACATCACGGAGAAAGTTGTAAGCAAGAGGAATGCCTTCACTTCATTTCAGAGTCAGATTTAGGCGACGAAAAGCAGGCCGTGTGTACCAATTCTGATGCCGTTTTGGATAACAGAATTCATGCCGAACAGTTTGCTCCTTGGATTTCTTCTGGTAAGGAAAAGGTAGGGAAAATGTTTTTCTCCTGGTATGAATTAGTAACATAATCGATTAGCAGGTACGTTTGGGAAGCAAGATTGTTGCTTTCCTTCGTTGTCAAATTCTCAACAATTCTAGACACGAGCAAAGAAAGAGCTGATCGCGTATGTTAATGCATCTGTAATATTTTACAACCACAGAGAGAATTGTCGAATCGTACGTGATTACAGCGTTCTTTCTTCCTAAAACATTTATTTCAAAACAAATTAGATTGCCAAAACCATCAAGAGATGCCAAATATCCTCCTTAGCATTACATGTTTGATAATTTTACATGATTACATTATAATAGTTTAAATGGCGAATAGCAAATATTGGCTGCTTTTACGTGTGAACGCAATGTGATTAAGACTTAAAATTTTTTGAATAATTGAAAGTGTTTCTCGAAGCCCTTTTGTCTTTAGCGCCGAGGAGATTTGCCAAAGTCTCTTTTTGAAGGTCATTTGATGTCAGGTCACATTAAGACTGCCTTTTTCACGGAGTTACACACTCCACTCAGATGCACCACCGGCTAATTGGGCAATAATTCGTTTTCATACGAATGAAAACGGCTTAATTTACCCATAAGAGCCCATGTTGGCTACCTTTTTTTTCTTAATTTTTTTTTTTATCAACAGGAGTTGGCGACCCGTCAACGTGGAGAGGGGCCTAGACTTGGGAAAGGTTAGCCACCACTTTGATCTCTCACCACACACTTCGTGTCAGTCGATTTGTTTTAGCGATGAGAGACGTATCTTTCCACGGTTATTCTGTAGTTTCTTATTTTAAGCTTACCATAAACGATTCCTATCGTCCAATTAATTTTTTTCTTCCCAGGTGTCTCAGATGGGTATCATAGGAAATCGCTCGTGTTGCCAAGCGAAGCTGTAGCAACACTTCAGTTACAACGTCCAAGTGTAGGCGGTGAAGGTGACATGTTGCTAGTTCCTTCTGCACAAGGTCAGTTATTGTTCATTTTTCGTATTTTATCGTTTCACTTTAATTACAAGGGGCTTGAATGCATCCTTTTCTAACCTAGCAGGGAACCCAGGATATTGTCAAGTCCAGTCTCTCGTAGCTGAACAGTTTGAAGGAGAATTTAAGCAACTTAAGGATGCTGTTAATGAGAGCAAAGGGACAGTTGTTCCTGTTTCAAAGGGTTGGTTGGCTGTAAATTGTTTAGTATGATATGGTTGTTTTTTCCTAAGTTTTGTATGAAGAAAAATGGTCTGTTTCGCCTGTCGTTATGGCCTATCTTTAAGGGTATTCTTAATGGACTTTTGTCATCGAAATAATTGTAAACATGTTTTCTTTACATTTCCTCATAAATAATGAGTAATCAGAAGTAAATTCGCACATTTTAGGGTATGGAGAAAGATCTCTGGCGCTACCTCACGATGTTTCCCAGACTCTCAAGTCCAAATCAGTCCCTGCAAGAGATATTGTCTGTAAACTGCTGAATCTCTCATCGCTGGAAGCTCCAGCTCCTGACGATAGAAAATGGATCCGTTGTCTTATGAGGGATGCTAAGTACTATGATAGAACTGATGTGGTTAATTTCTTGAGAGAAAATGCACCAGCGGGCACAACAGGTAAAATTGGTTCATTATTGCCAGAGCTCGTCACTGAATTCTGTGCTGTAGAGCAATTAGGATAAATATTGTTACTACTTTTCTTAAATGAGATGCCAATTCATTACGGGTATCCCCCCCCCCCCCTCCTCAACTTGGATATGGTTCCCTCGGCAGTTCGCTGGTACCAATTAATACTTAGGCGAAGGGGGGTATCTCATAGGGAGAAAATTGTCCTTCTCAACATAACAAGCTGACCACTCGATCCAGATTACAGAGCATGGACCCTTAACACACCGTATTTCTCACATTATATTTAACCTCGCCTAGATAAGGACGATGTCAGATTTATCTTCCTTTCGCTGCCCCTTTTGTTCATGATCACTTCTGTCGTTAATGAGATTTGAAAACAAACATTTGACGATACTAAAGTATTTTCGTTTCCTTTCCTTTTCATAACGGTTAGAACAAAATCTTAGGCAACTCTTAAATAATCGTTGATCTGTTACACTGATATAGAATCCTCCTATTCTACCACTTTCAAACTGAGATCTGTTAAGGTATACTTTCTGTAATACAAACAATGCCGGGTCGTTTGATATAGTTTTCCAAAATGTTCGCGTTTCGACCGTTTCAATTCTAAAAATTAATTGTTAGAATTGATTGAATGTAGAAGACTTTATAATTCCTTTTTACTTCTAGGCCCTCGGCTCGAAGAAAGCCTCAGTGTTATGAAAATTCCATGGAGACGGAGAACTGACTTAGCTGTTCGTTTGTGTGGTGAGTTGGAGAGCAGTTTTTTAATTTATTTATTTTGCACTTTTTTTGTGTAAGTCGCTTGTACCACGGGCAATTGCTGTAACGTATAGACATAACGTAATCTGTGGGTTCTTCTCAGCTTCCTATCATTACCAGTTGAAGAAAATATTGTTATTAACTACTATGATTAGAAGTATTTGGGAACTACTAAAATTAGGAATGTTCTGACTTAATGTTTGAGGAATTTTTAGGCCTGTTACATTATCTTGAAATCGTTATGCTGGTCTTGTGAGCCTTGGTTTGTTATGAGCTACAAGCTTTTATGGGTTTGTCCTTGACCTTTCTGAAGAGTCCTCAACAGGAAACTTCCATAACTTTTAGCAAACCTGTCATACGTTATTTCGTTCTAACAAAGGGACTTATTCAAGACTCAGGGCCAAAAAAACTCGCCTTTGCTGTCTCGTTAGCGTCAAAATCTGGCTTCAACTCATTCTTAAAACCGGAGAAAAGTTTGAAGTTGCATGACTTTTATTTTGGTTCATATTTTCCTCTCTATCATATCGAAATTACAAGTAGCAAGTTTGTTTGAGGACTTTATTGGCAATACACAAGTTTTATTTCATTCCTTTGCACTAATAATGATTGTTTTATTTGAAGCACTCTTACCTTTCCTCTGAAAAGCTTCAAATGTTATTTCCGCTGTAGGATACTTATACATTGAAATACTTCTTAAGTTATGAAAACAAATAAAGATTTTGTTCTTTTGTATATGGGTACTACACTTATATATATATATATATATATATATATATATATATATTTATAATTTATCTTCCTTTTCAGGAGGCGAAGAGTGGAAGATCGTTGCTGACCGACTGGGTTTTGAAGATGCATACATTCGTTGTTTTGACAATCGTTTTAAAAACCCTGTTGAGCTTATTCTAAACCTCTCTGGCTTAAATGTGGGGGAACTCTACGACGTGTTAGTAGAATGTGAGTTCCCCTTACTCGCGGATTTGTTGTAGGAAGGCCTAATTTTACCCCTGCATTCAGGTCGTCCAAGTTTTAAATCACGCGCCATGATCAAACGACGCGTATGGGTAAGAGGCAGGTGTTTTGTTGAGGCTGTAAGAATTTATTTCTCGTTAAATGAGTTTTGATAACTAGATGCATCCTAGAAAAATTGAAGCTCCAAGAAGTTGAGTAAGTGACTAGTGATATGTATTTAGATACATGTACCAGAACGAAATTTACATGTAACCCTTTCATGCTTGATCGGGAACCCAGAGAGGACTCCTTTGCTGGCGCTTTTTAAACAGGTTTCAGTGTAGATACTCCAGAATTGAACACTGGTTATTTAGTCTAACAATTCGTGGAGAGTTTTTTCTCTGCTAGTCAGTTGCTTTATTTGATAAAGGAATTTTTCTCATCTTCAAAAGCTGGGAATATTGAAAGAGAACACCCCAACGAATGTACATTTGTAGAAATGGATTTTGAGTAAATCATAGGGATAAATGCGATGAGAAGTTTTGAAAATCAGAAAATCAAGTTTTGAACCGAACTTTTGATCTGCTAACTTCCGTTTCTACCATCTAAATTTGAATTTTACTGGTCATTATTAGCACTAGTTAGGAAGACAGTATCCTTAAATTAGCTATGCCAAGTGTATCAAGTGATTAACTCCTTCAGAGAAGCTACCATTTACGCTTTGCGAATATTTTCACCTATCGAGAAGTTTGATTCGTCAAAGAAACAATGTTACAAAAATGAAGCTGGAGAATGCGGTAGGGACAGTTGTCTGTTTCCAGTTACATGTAATAATCTCCAAATCAATATTTCAAGCATTATCATTGGCTTACTGTCATCAATGTAATCATCATGATCGTTGCTATTATCTTTTTGGCTGTTAGGTAGAATAAGAAAAGGTTCGATTTCGGTCTTTGAATAAAAAAGAGGTCAGACCGAGAATGTTGGTCAAATCTTCGTCCCGGAAGAAAAGGAGACCCCTATCTTCTATAGTAGAAGGATAAAACCTTTATGCTTCTATGCATAAAAATTGCAATAGAAAGTATTACACAAATGTAATCTGTCCTATCTAGGGAAACCTGGGCCATCGAAGACTGATTTGGTTTCCGTCATAAAGAAACACAACAAATTTGATTATTTAATTTTTGAAACGCTACAACAACAGCAACATCTATTTTTTTGGGTCATTGTCTTTTCCTTTCTTGAGAAAGAAACAATGAACTGTTATCGATTAATTATTTTTAATATTTTTTTCTCAGAGGGTACGGTAACGAGTCCTGCAATTTTTTAGTACGGTCCGGATTTTCCTATCTCTGCCCACGGTCACGGTAACGCTTTTCCGAGTACATCCCTAGCCTCGTTGCCATTTTTCAGCAAAACTGTTTTCGAAATGAATTTGAAGTAGCAAATGTGTTGAGCGTATCGCCTTTCAACATCAGTTAGATTGCGTAAGGCGTACGACACAGCTCACCATTGCCCATCCTGAAATTGGAGTAACACCGCTCCACCGGAGTGTTGGGAGTTTTAATTTTCGCTTCGCAAAAATATCTTTTAACTGTGGGAAATCTCTATGACGTTTTGAAAGACTGTGGGCTGCCTGTCATTGCCGACTTTCTTTGAAACCAGTAGTTTTTTTTCACTTTGAAGGATCCGGTAGCAACTAATTCAACCATCAAGTGCAGAATATCTTATCAAATAAAACGGCGAAAGCGAAAGTCACATAAAATAAGCCGGAAATTAGTCAGAGCTCCTGATGCACCTATTCACCCAAGCCCGCGGTAGTTCTGTAGTGGATGATGGAGGTTCTTTCGGGGAACGTGCTAGAAGTATTGTAAATGATCCCACTAGGGCGATGATCGATGTCTTTGACAGATCCATGCAAGCACCTTTAAAAAGCAGGTAATTTAGTGTTAACAACTGAGTTGAAAACGTAAATTAGCCACCGTAAAGGGTAAAAAAGCTGACGTTTCGAGCGTTAGCCCTTCGTCAGAGCGATTGGAGGAATTGTGAGTTGTGTGTGGGTTTATATGCAGAAAGTGGAGCTACACCATTGGTGGGAATATGGTGACGAGAAAACAGGATAAATTAGTTGAATGAAAAGCGCTCGTAGATTCCGTGGGGATTAAGGGTGTCAATTTGGAAGATAAATTTTTGTTCTAGTGTTTTACGGCTTTCCGAACTGCCTAAGTGTAAGGAAAGGCCGCAAACTGCCATATGCTGTTTAGAATGATTAGGAAGATTAAAGTGTCTAGCGACTGGTTTGGATGTGTCCTTGTCATTTCTTTCCACGTCGCGAAGGTGTTCTCGGAATCGGTCACCTAGTCGTCTTCCTGTTTCGCCGATGATAACTTATTGCAATAAGTGCAAGTTATGCAGTAAATACATTGGCGGAGGTACACGTAAAGTGATCAGCGATCTTAATAGATCTCTTGGGTCTCGTTATTTTCTCTACGTTGTGCATGAAAGAACAAGTTTTGCATCGTGAGCGAGCGCATTTAAAAGTTCCAGATTGGTCATTGGTTTGAAATGAACTCCTGACTAAAAAGTTGCCTATGTTTTTGTCACGTTTGAATGAAATAAGTGGGGGTTTCGAAAAGATAGTGCCAGTCTCTGAATCGTTCTGGAGTAATTTAAAATTTTTAAGAATGACAGATTTAACTGCGTGGTTGTGAGGGTGAAATGTTAGAGTAAATGGAATCCATCACACGTTAAGAACTCCATACCTTTTTCACAGTTTCTCAGACTTCTTCGTTTATGTAGTGACGACTCTGGTTATTTCGAAAAAACCAGAGGCAATGTGCCAGTTGTTCGATAAACATGGCTACCCTGTTTGTGTCGTTCAAGCGGGCCACCACCGTGCCCAACAAATCGATTGACAGTCAGTACTACAAACGACTGAGAAGGAAAATACTGAACATTTTCATTTACACTGTAAAATTAAAAGAGTTCATTTGGCCCCAAAAATGGGGCCAAAACGAGTGAGTCCAGTTTGGCACTCGCTTAGGGTCAATTCAGCCCCATTGAAGTGGGGCTGTTTTTGGCACCAATTTTGGGGCTGAATTGACCCCGTTGTAGGGGCCAAATTGGACCATGTGAAGGGTGAATTTGAAAAATACAGAGGCCACTTTGAAATTTATAGGGGCCAAAACAGCCCCCGAAATTTCAGCCCTCTCACAAATGGCCCCTTTAAAAAGAGCCAATTCAGCTCCAATGTGGGCCACTTCAGAAGTAGAGGGCTCTTTCCTCTCTATGCTGATTTTCCCCCTTACATTCAAATAATGAAAATACACCACATACTTTATCTTTCCAACACTCATTTATTAGGTTCTAGATATTGTTTATGTAAAAACCTTTTATGCTACCTGATTTTACAGTTATTAAGAATCTTAATTGTGGTATAAAACAGACAAACTTTGAAACATCTTGTGAAAGAATATAGCATACATACATATTTAACATTCATTCAACCATTTTCTAAAATAGATCTCTTCCCTAAATCAGTATACTTCTTAACAGTGCAAGCATTGCAAGAAATTACACCCAAGAGACACTTGTGAGTAAAGCTTCCCTTTTCAATGACTTAGCAAATGTGGTAATGTAAAGCAGCTTATAATTAAGACTGATTTAAAGTACAGAAAATTATCAAAATAAGACAGAGGCAACAAATGGTCCAGTTCCTGCACAAGAATATAGATCTTGTTTGATTTGTGCATATGAAAAACAAAGAGCCTTAGAGCAGCAAAGAGTATTCTTCCAGTGGATGTGAGAATACATGCACTCATATTGCTACTTTAGATATTATCAAAATATAAACTATCAGCAAGTACTACTGCAGGCATTTGCCAAGTCATTGAAAATAGAGGAAACAGTGACAAGAGTCTGCCTGTGCCCAATTTCAAGCAATGCTTGCTCTAAAAAAGTCAAAATTGCCTTTGAATAAATGAGCCAAGTAACCCAATGAGAGCATCAAGAATCTTTTCTTGTGAGAAGTGACAAATTACACTTCCCTCTGTTACTATATTCAGGTGATTGATGTATTGAAGATCTCCAACAATTAAAATTTGTGCTGGACATAATCTCTGATTGCTGAATCAACATCAGCTACTCTATGCAATAAAAACATGTTTTACAACCACATTAAAATCAAGCCAAAGTGCAAAAAGTGCCTGTAGCCAGAAAAAAAAAAGAATATATATATACACACTTAAGTTAAAGAATTAAAGAGGACGCATCAATTCTCTGTGACTGAGTTTTGTGCCTAAGCACTTGTCAGACAGAAAAGTTCTGTCTGACAAGTGCTTAGGTGCGAAATTCAGAGTCACATAGAATTGATGTGTCCTCTTTAATTCTTTAACTTATGTATACTTAGCTCTGCTACCACAGCATTGAGCACTTTATGCCAAGGTAGACTCTACCCCTACATTTACATATATATATATATATATATTGTTTTTCTAAAACTATAAGCTAAAACACCAGAAATGGAAGTGGAAGTTTAGCTCAATGTGTGTAATTTGTCTCCCATTCAAGACTTGAAAAACTAATGTATGACTCCCAAAATATCTGAAAAAAATCAGCTATTCTATGTCCAATATTTATCTAATGGTTTGACAACAGGAATATTTTAAAAAATTTGCAAAATCAAAAAAACTAAACAAAAAGGCAAAATTAATACAACCCCAAAGTACCTGAACCTTTGTATCTGGACTTCATTGGCAAATGGGCTCAGAAATTTTAGCTGTTCATCTTAGTACCAAAGTAGCAGTTTTTTGGACTTGTACCTCCAAAATGGTCACAACTTCATTAAATGCATGTGATGACAAACACACAAGAACAAAGATCATGAACTTAAAAGGTGAGAGTGATTATTTTGCAACTTTTTAGTTTAAGGCAAGAGATTCAGCACCACAAAATTTTCTCTTTTCACTGCAAGCAGAAGAGGTGAAGCAATAGATATTTAGACCATACCAATCCATTCAGTTTCCAAGTCAACTTAGTC